GGCTGCCAGCAGTCGGCTCTCCCCTTTTACTAATTGGTCGCCATGCACGGTGTCTTGAACTGTTACCATGATAATGGTGAGTACCTCGCCTCTGGAAGGTTCCAATGATGCAATCCATTGGCGGGAAATGAACCCTCGCATCCTGGCACCTTTGTTTGTTATGACAAATTTTATTAGGAGGAACAAAATCTTATCCAAACTGACCCTATGTTCGTCTATGAATCGAACTCAAGCTCAAGGCCAGACCTAATTTAAACTTCGTAAGCTTGCAAGGCTTTGCAGAACATGATAAATGGGACAATATTATTATGGGATAGATCAAAAACAGTTTCTTATGAACAACAATTTATTCAACAAAAACTAGAACTACGACAATAAAGAGTTTACGTTACTTTACTGTCTTCCAGTGGCACGATAGAAACGGCTAATTCAACAGCCTAGTGGAACCACGGACTCCTATCCATCGTCGCTGGCTGAATAATGACACTAACTGAACAGTGTTGTGCCCACTGGCGACATAAGATGGCAACCAATATATCTCACGGCCCTCACGGTCACAAATACTATAATCACAATCTTGTTGACTCTCACAGCCCTTCCAGCGAGGTATCAAAAGTAACTAGGTGGGTGATCCAACACTGATAACCCCCTATCAAAATCTTATGTTAACACTTGTCTCTCAAGACACAAACAAATATTGTAAAAGTGCACTAATTGAATTTAATAATAACTACGTTAATTGACTGTCCACAGCAGTCAGCAACAATTCAAGTACGTTAACACAATCGTGTCTCAACGACACTCAAATGATAACAATAACTCGAAAGCACTTAATTACACCACACTTGACACGTCAAGCATTCTGTGAGTAATTCCCAAGTAATTACTGTCACACCGACAGCCTATTAATCCAGACGAGTTATAATCGACACTACTGTCACCCAGTCGACAGGTGTCTCTCCGGTCTTACGACAAAATTACATTAATTAGGGTTCTGTTACTCTACTTCACAATGTTACTCTATACACTGCATAAACAGCAACATCAACACTGTGAATTCGCCAAGTGGCGGGTGCTAATCCTCTTGAACCAACTAAGAGTGCTTAATCCACTGTCCTCAGACAGATACAAGTCCAACGAATTATGACAGCTCAATTAACTTCACCCATGACAGATAGTCAACCTTTTACGTTAACTAATTATTTAATTACCGACAGCTTATTAATTCGTTAACACTGCTTTAGTCGCCCTCCCGACAATTCCTCACCACTGCACGAACTCACTGTGACTGGTGCTAATTTCACAGATTAGCAAGAGGTGCTCAACTGTCGCACAGACAGGTAATTGTACCCACAGTTTACGTTACTCTCAACGCTGTTCAACAACGCATCAATACCCTCATTGATGCGGGTATTGGGAAACCCACTTCGGCCAATCATCAGACAGGTACCCACACCCACGTACAGACTGGCGAAGCAACTCAACGGCTTGCTCACTCCTTATGTACCTTGCGCCTTCAGCCTGAAGTCTCCAAAGGAATTTGTTCACTTACTGCAGGGAACACGGGCCACAGGGATAAGAGCCTCGTTGGATGTAGAATCAACTGTTTACCAACGTACCTGTGGATGAAACAATCGGGATGATAGTGGACAGAGTGTATCGTGATCCGGCCTGTACTCCTCTTGACATACCAGAAAACATTCTAAGGAAACTACTCCAAGCTTGTACTAAAGAGGCACCCTTCTTGAGCCCGGATGGGCACATGTATAAGCAAGTAGATGGGGTCGCCATGGGTTCTCCCCTAGGTGTCCTGTTTGCGAACTTCTACATGGGAACCATCGAACAAAAGGTCTTAGTCGACATGAACTTGAAACCGGCCATATACTGAAGGTATGTTGACGACATTTTTACACAGGTACCGGATGTCAGACATCTGCAGGAGCTGAAGGAGGCGTTTGAGCAGAATTCTGTGTTGCGTTTCACTTATGAGATGGAGAAGGATGGGAAGCTGCCCTTTCTAGATGTAACAGTCATGGAAAGGAGCGGAGGTTTCCACACTGCAGTCTACACTAAGGAAACAAACATAGGAATGTACATCAATGCCAACAGTGACTGCCCAGACAGGTACAAGAGGAGTTTCGTTAACGCTTATGTCGACCGTGCTCTCAACCACAGCTCAGGATGGAAGCAAGTTGATGAACTCTGTAGGGTAAGGCAGGTCCTAGTCAACAACGGCTTCTCCAATGGTTTCGTTGAAGACATCATAAGAAGGAAGGTGAAACGCCATGCAACCTCTGAAGAGACAACTAACACCTGTACCCCCTATTAGACTATTTTACAGGAACTTCTTTTCCACAGCTCATAAAACGGAGGAAAGGGTCTTGAAAGATATTGTTAATAGGAATGTTATCCCTACAGACAAAGATCAGAAGATACAATTGACGATTTACTATAAAACCAAGAAAACGGCCAACCTACTCATGAGAAACTCTCCAGACACAAAGCAGAACGCTTTAAATGAGACCAACGTCGTCTATGCCTTCAAATGCCCACTTGGAGACTGTAAGCCTCAAAGAACTCAGTATATAGGCAAGACAACAACATCTTTTTCCAGGCGATTAACAATGCATAAGCAACAGGGCTCCATTAAGGAACATCTCTTCCCACAACCAGACCATCACCAGAGAAGTCTTAACAAACAACACAGAAATCATCGATAGATACAGCGATAGCAGGTGGCTTGACATCTGCGAGGCACTACACATCAAGAAGTCAACACCTGCAATCAACAGCCAATTAATGCACAACTATATTCTACCCACTTCAAGACTCCGCTCCAATATAGAAGCATCAATAAATATGGGCCAATAGGCCCTTTGCAGTTACTTCCATTCTATACCCATTAAACCGTGTTCTGTCTTATGTTGAAAGTGTTGTTCACCTCATCCAAAACTGTTGTAACACATATACTCGCATTTGGGTGAGGTGATAAGACAAAAGCTGTTTAAATGATAGCATAGTAAAACACTGTTTAGTGTTTGCAGGTTATAGTTGTGTGTGTGTAAATTAAAGTCTTTGAAAATGTAATAAGTTATTACGAAACGCGTTCAAGTGATGCGTCAGACTAGAAAAATGCATTTTGGAGAATTGATTTTTCAATTACCATCGACAGTAAAAAGAAACATAAGAAATATTGAGAAAATTCGTGTTAGAATTATTGATCTTACTTTTTCGGTCATATTTAATAACATATGTTTACAAGAAAGACTGCTACTAAAATATACTAATATATATATATATGTTTATCACGAAAATAAACACGTGATTAAAATTGTGACAGTGTCAGACCATGAAGGAAAATTTAAACGGGAATTTCCTTATGTACTTTCTTATATTAATACATCTTTAGAAGGAGTGGTTTTACAGGTCGAGTACTGGACATAAATAGGCAGGAGAGAATGGTGGAGTGAGGTGAGGTACAATAAGTGGACACTGCAGAAGGGCCTATTGGCCCATCCGATGCAGCAACCACACACAGGCCATGGATAATCATAGCATAAAATAGTAAATATTTACAATGAATTAGTGAGACAAATGTGTTCCAATGATCCTACTTAAATCGCCCTTTAATTGATCTATTAAAAATGGATCTAAGTTATATAAACCACTGCTAGTGTTCAAATTACTTTCTTTTGTGATCTGTATTAAAGCAGATTCAATTATGTTTCTGTTATAAGTGCTTTTACAATTCGTTATTGAAGAAGTCATCTCCCAATCAGCTTGGTGAGCATCTTCTGACAGATGAACAAACAATTAGGAACAAATTGATTGGGAGATGGCTTCTTCAATAACGGCTTCCTATTTACTGCTAGGTAATAGAGCATCAGGGTGAAAGAAAATCTGCCAATTGTTTCTCGCCGGCGCCCGGGATCGAACCCGGGACCACACGACCAGTATTCTGTCCACTCAGCCGTCGGCTCCCTAAGACTAAGCTAGGTCATTGATAGCAGAACCACAGTATATATATACCTGTGGGTATTTCAACACATTAGCTTGTATACTTTACAAGGATAAATTGATAAAGACAGTTTTATAACTGTAAACACTACGGTTCATGATCAAGGATCTGAACAATATACACTGCCTAGTCTAGCTCTAGAAATATTGCAGCAGCCAATAATCAAATGCTAATAAACACAAGTGTATTATACAAGTATAATGTATATGCAAATATGCAACCAAAATATATACATGAAGGATTCAGCAATAGAAGAGGTTCAGTCACTGGAAAGAGTGTCAGAACTTATTAATGATGATGCGTTACCTCGCTACCTAACGACTATCAATTTATATATGGACTTATTAATGTTATAAAGCATGCAACTGGCCAGTTTATGCTCGAAAACAATCAATAACTTTCCTGAATTGGGAACCGGAGCCTATCTGACAGTAGCCAGATTATCTCTCTCTTGTTGACACCAGGCTCTATATTTTTGTTGCACTGTGCATTGTGTGAACACTTGCACTGCGCGTTGTGTGAACATTTAAGCAGAATAAGGAGAAATACTTTGAAGGAAACAAACTTTTATATATGAAACTCATTTTTAAATTATTTTTTTTTTCACTAAAATTGTAATAACAATAATTACCATGATTACTTATCCTGATATAAAATGCTCTGTATATACATTCCAATGATATATATATATATATATATATATATATATATATATATATATATATATATAATAGAATTGTTATGATTATTGTTATTTTTTAATTGCCTCTATAATATTGGCAGTATTCCTGTAAATAATGTTACCACTGCCGTTAGCGATTTTATATTAAAATCTTAGACCAAAAATATATAGGTCCGATGTCTTTGAAATACAGCTGAAGTTGGAGCTAAATAACATCACTTGCTTTTTTGCTATGAAAAACTTTCTGCAAGAAACAACAAATGAAACTGTCCCCTTCAGTCCAGTAATTCCCCAACGCAGCTGTGCGCGGGCTTGGAGCAGCTCTTCGGCAACACCACCGTGGCCGACCTCGGGGCGGGCCTGGGCCACTACGGCAGGTGCTTCCTCCGCAGGTCAGAGGGCATACTGAACCACCCCAACAAGGTGGAGATTGAAAATATCAACAAAGATTACCTGCACCAAATGGCGCGGGCGGGACTCCACGGTACCCCACAAGTCATCAAGTCGTGGCACGGTAGGTCACCTCGGTGTCCTGGGTAGGCTTGAAGCCATCGGCAGGCAAGTTATATCATATTCTCTTCTGTTTGTATTTCCACTATGTCTCTGATCTGGCCAGTTTCTGTCTTGTTTGTCTTCTGTTTGTCTCCCCTGCTGTGTTTCTTGAAGCACCAATATGATCTGTCCATATTTTCACTTCCGTAATATTCTATTCATGTGGATTAATCTGCTCGGATTCTTTGCTCTTTTAAATCAATCCCGTTTGAGAAGAGTGCCTTATGTCCGTTATAATTCGTGGTGGATAAGGGCTGAGATAAGTGTTGCATAGGTTAACTAGAGAACGGGAAGTGGGAACAGAAACCAAGATGTGACGTATAAACCACAGCTTACTGTAAGTCGTAGAGTCTTCTCTGGATTAGACTAGATCCAATCCTCTGGATTGGACTAGAATATCTTTCCTTCGTAGATGTCTCCAAGGAATCGCTTTGTCTATTATTGCTGATGGGTTCCTAAATCTAAATCTTTGAGTTCGTTCTCAACTCAAAATTGTGAATTCCGGGTTCGAATCCCGGACGGGACAGAAATGGTTGGGCACGTTTACTGTTGTCTAATGCCTCTGTTCACCTAGTGATAAATAGGTAGTCAGGAGTTTGCTTTTGGAGTTGCATTCTGGGGGGGAGGGGGCAGTAATTCCACCTGTAGGGGGGGGGGGGAACTTGATATAAACCTGTGCATATACACTGGCTGCGTCTCCCTCAACACAATAAATTATTATTATTATTATTATATACGACAAATAACTTACGATATTTAACTTACGATAAATATATCGGTCAAGCGCTTGGTATTCGCATGAGCTTCCCTATATCCTCTGGTCTCTAAAAGCATTACATGAAATATTTTGAATCTCTTCATCGTTTCGCTATTGAAGTACGCTTCGCTCCTCTTCTTTTTGTCCTTCTGTTTACTTTTGACCTCCTTCGTTCTCCCCTATATTATCCCAGCCTGGCCTCACCCCATGGGTCCCACCTCCCCGTCTCCTACTACTCACTCTAAAGCAGTGATTTGTTAAACAAAAATTTATCTTATGCCAAAGTCTTTATCAGGTATCAGAGTCCCTATCTTGTGTCACACGCTAAATATTCTTCGTTAGATGCAGGTAATCATCGATTCTAAGAAAAGTGTCTCGAAGGGAATCCTGGTAAACTGCAGGTCATCAATTTTAGGGAAAGTATTAAATATAACAAGGAAATATGTGAATCTATTATGTGTGAGAGAATAGTTAGAAGCTAATTTTCGTGTGGGGGTCGTATTATTATTTGTGTGTAGTAATGATCGTAATGGTCAAATGGTCATGATTAGCGTTGGCAAATCTTGAGTACTTCAGTGAGACCATATGAGGACGCTGCTCAAATTCACTGTCACATGACACAGTGAAGATACTGCTCATGCTCCCTAACACACTATCCAGGGTCCTCGTGGCTGAGTGGATAATGCTCGGGGGTCGTAGTCCTAAGGGCCCGGCCATGGCAAAAATAAATGAGCAGAGTTTCTCTCACCCGGATGCACCTGTTCACCTTACGGTAAATAGGTATCTGGAAGTTAGACAGCTGTTACGGACTGCTTCCTCCGGATGTGTGCGTGTGTGAGATAAATATATGTAGGAAATACAATAGATTAAAATAGATTGGTTACAAAGGTGGGGGTCCAAGAGCTAAGAGCTCGATTCTGCAGACAAGAATAGTAAATGCAGGACAGTGAGGATGGTGGTCATATTCACTGCCACACAGGACAGTGAGGATGGTGGTCATATTCACTGCCACACAGGACAGTGAGGATGGTGCTCATATTCACTGCCACACAGGACAGTGAGGATGGTGCTTGTCCATCCTCACAGAGGTTAGTTACAGGTCCCCCTACAGTTACTGGTTAGATAATGACTAGGGAATGTGTTGAAACCTTTCGTGTCCCTGTGTAGGATGGGATGGAGCGGCGAACATCGATGAGTTCACCAACGGGAGGATAGCGTCAGCGGACCTCTCCAGCCCCGCGACCCTCGGGGGTCCCTTCGACTGGGTGATGAGCCTGGAGGTGGGAGAACACATCCCAGAGTCCGGCGAGAAGAACTTCCTGGACAACCTGGTCAAGCACGCCTGCGTGGGTGAGTCGCCCTCCCGTTGTGTACCTGCCACAAGGCTCAGGTGCTGGTGGGTCTTCTCCACACATGTTGCCCTGTAAACACGATATGTGTTGCTCTTCTTTCCTCAGACATGAGCTCTGCTTTATCTCCGGTACATGAGCCTTCTCCTTGACCTACTACGACCTCTGTTACAGGAGTGGTGTTGTCGTGGGCGGTGCCGGGGCAAGGGGGACACTCCCACGTCAACTGCCGCTCCAACGACTACGTCAGGAAGGAGATGGCCGCCCAGGGACTGGAGTCGGATAAGCTCGCAGAGGTGAAGCTGCGGAAAAACGTCGACCAACTCACCTACTTCATGAACACCCTCATGGTCTTCAGGTACCCCAAGAAGAGGTGCTGAGGTCCGTTCCGTCTCCTCCAACTCCTTCTTTGAATTAAATTTATTAATTTGAAAGCTAAAAAAAAATTCTAAACACTTGTTTTGATCACCTATACTGACCTTCCAAGGGTGAAGAGGCCTCAGTAATACTTCGTACTGTCTTTCAAGGTTGTGAATACTCCAGTAAGCTTCCGCACTGAATTTCCAAAGAGTTCCGTGCTTTCCTAAGGTTCCATAGTGACCTTCCAAGCAGCTCAGACCCAAAACTAACAACAATTTAAATACAAATGAACGGAACGAACGAAAAGATCCTAAAAAAATCCATATAAACTGGATTTACTCTCCTAACAGTTATGATCTAAAGTGATCTAAAAGGGTCACTATAGACTAATTGACCCGTTTATGCCATCAGCCTAATTGAGAGGTTTATAGTAAACAGGTAAACTTAGTTTACTATAGCTGCTGAGGACAACAAAATTAATCTTCCCATTTACCCAATTTGCGTCAACATATACTAAAAGCCAAGAAATTTCTTGGAAATCCAATTGATTTATATTCCTAAAATTGTCAGATCCTTTCAGAGACTTGATTGATAATAGAATGAAATAGACATGCAAGTACTCACCTAGTTGTGCTTGCGGGGGTTGAGCTCTGGCTCTTTGGTCCCGCCTCTCAACTGTCAATTAATTGGTGAACAGATTCTTGAGCCTAATGGGCTCTATCATATTCACATTTGAAACTGTGTGAGAGTGAGTATGTATAACTGAGTCTCCACCACATTACGGCCTAGTGCATTCCATCTTTTAGCTACTGACACTGAAAAAGTTCTTTCTGACTGAAAAAAAGTTCCACAGTGACTGAAAAAGTCATTGTGGCTCATGTGGGTACTCGGTCTCCACAGTACCAATCGTGTTAAACAGTTTATCTTTATCTACTCAGACGGGGTACATGTGTACAAACACACATGTATTTCCATAACACATTTCCCCCCCCCTCCCCCTTCATCCCATACCCTCCCTATCCCCCCTCACCCCGTATCCTTCATGTCCCCCTATCTCCTTAACCCACACCCTACCTGTCCCCCCTTCCCTTAAACCCCCACTCCCCACCCCAAAATCCTCTGAGACCCTGCAAACCACCTCACAGATCTTCTCACCCACGGAACAGCTTCCCACACCAGCAGAATGCTCGCCAAGAAAGGGACATGAAAATGAACAGAAGAAAGTGAGCTTCAAGGCGATGTACACTAACATAGATGGGATTACAAATAAAACAAGTGAACTTGGAGAATGGGCACTAGAAGAAAACCCAGACATAATAGCACTCACAGAAACAAAGCTAACGAAAATCATAACAAACGCAGTGTTTCCACAGGGCTACTATGTAGTGAGGAAAGAGAGAGAGAAGGGAGAGGAGGAGGTGGTGTAGCTTTGCTACTAAGAGAAGGTTGGAGTTTCGAAGAGATGGTAATTCAGAACTGTGAAGGTTTCAGTGATTACATATCAGGCACCATAGCAACTGGAGGACAGAAAATTATAATAGTAGTCATATATAACCCCCCACCGAATGACAGAAGACCCAGACAGGAATATGATAGAAACAACTTGGCCACCATCAATATTATAGAGAGAGCAGCTTCTGTGGCTAGCAGGAACGGATCGAGGCTACTAATCATGGGGCGACTTCAACCATGGGAAGATAGATTGGGGGAACAGAGACCCACATGGAGAGCTAAGCTGCTGGATGTGGCAACAACAAACTTTCTAAGTCAACACGTCAAGGGACCGACAAGAATGAGAGGAGGGGATGAACCAGCTTTGCTTGATCTGATATTTACCCTAAATGAGTCGGATATAAGGGAAGTTAAGTTGGAAGTCCCATTGGGAATGAGTGATCATAGTGTATTGAGCTTTGAGTACTTGGTTGAGCTGGGAATTATCACCCCCAGAAAAGAACTGGGAACCAAAGAGCTGGCGTACCGAAAGGGAAACTATGAGGAGATGAATAAATTCCTATGGGATATACATTGGGACAGAACTCGGAACCAAGTCCGTACAAGACATGATGGACTATGTCACCCAAAAATGTCAGGAGGCTGTAAGCAGGTTTGTCCCAGCCCGACAGGAAAAAACATAGAAGCAAAGGAAGAATCCGTGGTTTAATAGGGAATGTACGAAAGCAAAGGATCTGAACAAAAGGGCATGGAGGAACTTCCATAATAACAGAACACCAGAAAGTAGAGAGATACCAGAGAACCAGGAACGAGTATGTGAGTGCGAGAAGAGCAGCTGAGAAAAGGTATGAAAATGATATAGCTAACAAAGCCAAGACCGAACCAAAACTACTACACAGTCACATCAGGAGGAAGACATCAGTGAAGGAACAGGTGATGAAACTTAGGGTGGGCGAGGACAGGTACACAGAGAATGACAGAGGTGTGTGAAGAACTCGACAAAAGGTTCCAGGAGGTCTTTACAATAGAACAGGGAGATGTCACGGCGTTAAAAGAGGTGGCAGCAAACCAGGTGACCTTGGATAGGTTCGAAATTACAAGAGATGAGGTCAAGAAGCACCTATTGGAGCTGGATGTGAGAAAAGCTGCTGGGCCAGACGGAATTTCGCCATGGGTATTGAAAGAGTGTGCAGGAGCACTTTGCTTACCACTCTCCATAGTGTATAGTAGGTCACTGGAAACGGGGGACCTACCAGATATATGGAAGACTGCTAATGTAGTACCAATATACAAAAAGGGTGACAGACAAGAGGCACTGAACTACAGACCAGTGTCCTTAACTTGTATACCATGCAAGGTGATGGAGAAGATTGTGAGAAAAAACCTAGTAACACATCTGGAGAGAAGTAGACTTTGTGACAACCCATCAACATGGGTTCATGGAGGGTAAATCTTGCCTTACAGGCTTGATAGAATTCTACGATCAGGTGACAAAGATTAAGCAAGAAAGAGAAGGGTGGGCGGACTGCATTTTTTTGGACTGTCGGAAAGCCTTTGACACAGTACCTCATAAAAGGTTGATGCATAAGCTGGAGAAACAGGCAGGAGTAACTGGTAGGGCGCTCCAGTGGATAAGGGAGTACCTTAGCAATAGGAAGCAAAGAGTTACAGTGAGGAGTGAGACCTCAGACTGGCGTGAAGTCACCAATGGAGTCCCACAGGGCTCTGTACTTGGACCTATCCTGTTTCTGATATACGTAAATGATCTCCCAGAGGGTATTGACTCATTCCTCTCAATGTTTGCTGACGACGCCAAAATTATGAGAAGGATTAAGACAGAGGAGGATAGCTTGAGGCTTCAAGAAGACCTGGACAAGCTGCAGGAATGGTCGAACAAATGGCTGTTAGAGTTTAATCCAAGCAAATGTTATGTAATGAAGATAGGGGTAGGAAGCAGGAGACCAGATAAAAGGTACCATTTAGGAGATGAAATACTTCAAGAGTCAGAGAGAGAGAAAGACCTGGGGGTTGATACCACGCCAGACATGTCCCCTGAAGCTCATATCAAGAGGATAACATCAGCAGCATATGCCAGGTTGGCTAACATAAGAACGACCTTTAGAAACTTGTGTAAGGAATCTTTCAGAACATTATATACCACATATGTCAGACCAATCCTGGAGTATGCAGCTCCAGCATGGAGTCCATATCTAGTCAAGCATAAGACTAAACTGGAAAAGGTTCAAAGGTTTGCCACCAGACTAGTACCCGAGCTGAGAGGTATGAGCTACGAGGAGAGACTACGGGAATTAAACCTCACTTCGTTGGAAGACAGAAGAGTTAGGGGGGACATGTGTGGGATATTTGGGTTTGATTCTGATTAATTAATAATTAAAGTAGTAAATTAAATTACGAAGGACCACCCGCTTTTAAAGTAAAGAGGGAAACTGAGAATTTCAGATCATTAGATAAAATTCTAGAGAAAACCAGTGACTATGGATATGACTAGAAAGTATGATCATAAGAATAATTAATGGGCTGTATTATTAAAAACCAAACCTCAAACACCTACATTGGGGGATTATTACTGGAGGTCAATACGTCCAGGAATCAGTGTGGTTCGTTCACTAATTCTATTAATAATAATCTAATCCTATAATTAATGTTGAATATAATATTATTCATACAAAGAAGAACATGAATATGAGCATAATAATGAGTTACTGTAAATCACACATTATGTTGTACATTCTGAATGTATCAAATTGCAAAGTTATGAATAAAAAGAAATAAGCCTTAGCTGGTAATAGATTCCTTTAGATAACCCTGGCAGTCCTCTTAATCTCCAAGTCTGGTACACCGACGAATGACACGGTTAACATGGAGAAGACAGCATGAGGAATTCGTCTCTCGAGCTGTAAGATAAATGACTACCAGTAGCAATTGATTTAACTACGCAATACATATTCAAGATTATTGATATCTACAGATAGAATTCTAATCACCTGTTATTAGGTGTTGTCTTGCCGCATGACGTGCAATCACCCTGCCATTAATACACTTATAAATGATGCATAAAATAAAAGTACTTAACTGTGGGCACTGTGTAAGTATTAAGATTGCCGTAATTACGTATCCTAAATTCAGGTGAGCTTATCCTGGATTTGTACGTTTCAAGTTGGCTGATCACGTGTCGTCAGGAACCAAGTCTAGGGGCCCTTATTTAACACCAGCACTAGTTGAAGATATTATCTGCAAGGTCGTTCACGCCTCACAATGGCGGCTTTCATCTGTGGATAGACACACGTGTCCTATTTGCTGGACAATGGCGTCTTTTGTGAGTACGGCAAGCGCAGGTCCGCCTCTCTTCGGCTCCCCACGTGTACGCTTCCCAACGTGTACGCTTCCCAACGTGTACTGAGGATGGCATGGCGTCCCTCCTACCCACGCCCAGTCGACGTTCACAACACAAATTATTGGCATGAACATTAATATTTCTCGCATTCGCGCTTGAAACTCTAAAGACTGGACGGGTTTATTATTTAGAGGAACGAAATATTATTATTTAACTATTCAAGAATAGTAAAGATATAAGGGAGAGGAATTAATGTCTCCCCATAGCATTCATTGATGACGCTACCTCTATTGCGAGGTAAACGTTTTGATTCTAAAGCTCTAT